TGCAGGATCTTCGCTCGCTGATGCAGCAAATCCATGGACAGCAAATGGGACGAGCAGCTTCCACGGAAATCCCTAACCACTGATTGGCAAGCACACTTGCATCGCTGTTTCACATATCAAGATTGAAAAGTGTTAAGAAAATTGCTGCATCGCATGTTTTCCAGATTGCACATGCTATACGATATAGTGATATAATGTACAAGCTACATGTGCAGAGAGAGACCGGTGTACTGCCAAGCCCAACCCAAGCCGGTACACCCGACACGCAACGAAAACCTCAACCCCCCTCTCACCTCTCAATCTAGCGCAACACAACCTACCCAAGCCCTGCTCACTACATCTTTTTCGCTGGGACTGCACTGCTCAAGTGCAGAAGCCAACACACACCACACCGCAAGAGGGGGACGGCAGTCCACTTCCCCTGGGCGGGCGGGTGGGAACTTTTTGAGATTCAAGATCGGAACACTTCAGCAGCAGTTGTGACCACAAGGTCGACCCACGACCAACACTTCTCTAGAGCTCTGCTGCAACTGTACACGCAAAAGTATGTGCGCAGATAGAGAGGGTTTATGTCACAGTACGGGCCAGTGACAAAAGGCACAACCCAGGTTTTCTGTGGGCGCGGAGAGAGGGAAACAGAAAACTTGGAGCACACCTGATGTGAAACAGGATTTCTTCTGCGCACAGCATTTGAGCAGCTGATTATGGCTGCGCATGCAGCACTTAAGTTCAACATGCAAACACGACGTAAGCTTCCGCGGCACATGCACACGCAAAAAGCTAGCCGTGACACCGCACACATCACAATGCACTAAAGAACTGCTAGCCAATCCCACTTTGATGCACGCCGCGCATGCACCCCGCAAGACCTCTGCACGCACCGAGTAAAATGAAGGTGGCAGTCCGCGTGCTTCTGTCCTGCATAAGAATCTCCCCGCATGCAATCCCCGTTTTGTGCAGCTTCTCACGCACGGGCAAAGCAGGTCAGATATGGTCAGATGCATGCAGCCCCGCAGCCCCATCAGACATCTGCAACACATGGGCCGCTCCTGATCCACTCCACCTATATGATTACAACGCCGCAATGCTACGGCCAGCTTTCGGCTGTTATGGCGGTGGCTGCTTCAGACCGCCACGCAGGGCAGCCGCTGCTTTCTCAGTTGCCTCTGCAAGCCTTTGTTCGATGCTCCGAGCGCTCTGCAGGTTTTCGATTGCCTAGTAAGCGAATGCAAGGCACAAAATAATACACACAGTACTCGTGAACCTGTAGGGAAAGGCAGCCAGTCAGGCACGCGAGAGCCGGGCAGGATATCTCGCAGCGTCGCATGCTCAGCAAGATTGAACCGTTTCGGCGCGAGGAAATCTGTAAGCAGTGGGGGCAAGCGATTTCCTTTGGGCTGATCTCCCACGCAAGCACGATTTCGCAGGGCTTGAAGCTGCGAAGTGCTCACTCTGCAAGGCTTCCAGCCAAGAGACAACGCGAGGTCCTCTACAATGTATGACCAATGTCTGCACACACTAGCTGGAAGCAGAAAGCGATTGTCTCCACGAACTGACGGCTCATAGGACAGCTTTAATTGGCCGAATGCAGAATTGCTGGACCAAACAGCCACCCTTGTCGCGTTGGCTTCACAATCGCCACCAACCATGAACGACGTGGCATGAAACGCAGTCTTGAGGCGCCCCAGTGCAGGATAAGCCTTGCTCCAGACCGAACTGTCAGCGCTGTCTACCAACGACCACACGACTCCACGCAGTGTGAGCAGCCTACACTTCTCGCATAACCAGTCCAGCAAGATACTGTTGGCATCATTACACAGGCCATCCAGCATAAACACCACGTACAGCATTGACCTACACTCGAAGAGCTCTGCCAGAATTCCGCGCTGCAATGGCTCATGCAGGTTCAAGCACAACGGCGCCTTCACAGGCTGTACGGAGTGCCGCACAGTTACGACCTGTAATTCTCTAGATTGCAATTGATTCGCCAGCCGTGGCTCAGTCACAGAAATCTCCACACATAATGGCCGCACATCCGCCACAACACGACCCTCCTTCTGCAGCGGGGCGGCCGCCACGATTCAAGAACGGCAAGCATGTTGGCCGTGCCCCCTCTTTCCACATCGCATGTACGCATGTAAGCCTCGCTTACAGCGACAAGGCTCGCCACTCGCTTCTTCCCAGCAGCCATGCGCAAGGTTGAAGTTGTAGCAGAAGGGAACACCGTGCTTGTCCTGTGCCGGGAGCCCCACCAGGTCTTTGGGCATGCGGCCTGACGCCTTCTGCTTCAAACGCTTGTCTTTCCCTGTCCCGCGGTCAGGGGAGCCCGAATCTGCATCTTCGAACTTGCGGCGCTTCTTCTTGTTTGCAGGCTCAGCCGCAGCTTTGCAGGTAGGCAGCAAATGGAAAACTACCGCGGCAGCACTGGACAATCTCGTAAACACAGCATCAAGAGGCTTCATACCCGAGGCGTCCTGCTGAATCTTGGAGCCAACCTCGTCAGAAACCAACTTCCACAACTCCTGATCGGCTCGCAACACTGCTGCAATGCAAGGTGGCTCAAAACCGGGCGGAGCCGGGCGGCTCAAATGTTGCATGAACTCTTGGTGGATGGCATCGAGGGTCCTGAAGCTGATCAGACCAGCCTGATCTGCAGCCAGAGCACGCCGAGTCAAGGCCTGATCCCCCCTGACTTAACCATGGGGGGGGAGGAAAATGCAGACTACATTTTCCACACCCCTCGGGCCATGTGATCTGTAAATGTAGGATTTTCTATTCCAGCCCAGGCCCGGCTGATGCTCATGATGCTCGTCTCTGGCGGGTGCAGGTTGCTTACGCTCGTCCTCAACCCTATAAACCCGAAACCCCGAAACCCTACACCCTGAACCCTAAACTCCTCAACCCTAAACCCTAAAGCCCGAAACCCTACACCCTGAACCCTAAACTCCTCAACCCTGCACCCTGAACCCTACACTCCTCAACGCTAAACCCTAAACCCCGAAACCCTACACCCTGAACCCTACACTCCTCAACGCTAAACCCTAAACCCCGAAACCCTACACCCTGAACCCTAAACTCCTCAACGCTAAACCCTAAGGCCCGAAACCCTACACCCTGAACCCTAAACTCCTCAACCCTAAACCCTAAAGCCCAAACCCTACACCCTGAACCCTAAACTCCTCAACCCTAAACCCTAAAGCCCCAAACCCTACACCCTGAACCCTAAACTCCTCAACCCTAAAGCCCGAAACCCTACACCCTGAACCCTAAACTCCTCAACGCTAAACCCTAAACCCCGAAACCCTACTTCTGGTGGGTTCAGAATTCTTGCAGACCTACCATCTCGGAACCCGTTCCCCCCCCCGGCCCTGCTGGGGTGCGCTGCTAGGTGCTGCTACGGCTACGGCTGCTACGAGTGTGGGGTGTGCATGGGTGTGCAAAGTAGGTGCCATTCAGCTGCGCTGTCACGCTTTGTCTGGCATCGACACCGAGCGCATACATGTTGGGCCACTTGCCCCTGGAGCAACAGCGAGTGTGGCAGCCAGGAGCGATCACATCCACTGCTGAATGGCACTCTCTCTCTCTCTCTCTCTCTCGCTCTCTGTCTCTCTCTCTCTCTCTCTCTCTCTCTCTCTCTCTCTCTCTCTCTCTCTCTCTCTCTCTCTCTCTCTTTCTCTCTCACTCTCTCTGCTGTACCCTTTGCCTCTTGCATGCGTCTGCCCAAATTCCAACCGAACCCCCACCCGCCGGACCCTGCATGGCTTATCATGGCTTTCTGCTCCAATACCCTAAACCCCTTGACCCCCCCTGCCCAACCCCCAGACCTGATAATGTAGAAAACACCTTCCTGCATTTATGTACCCCCCCCCTATCCTGCATTTATTAAGACAGGGGGGATAAGGCCTGGAGAACCCGGAGCTCGGATCCCAAGTCGACTCGCCCTGTCGGTTCCTTAACCTTGAAGACGAGCTGGTTGTGCTCCAAGGTCAAAAGCTTCTTCTCCGACTTGACCGAAGTCATCTCATCCTCCCTGCTGATGCAAGAACTCAAAGGCACATAGCTGAGGCATGCCTCATGAACCATTTTGACGAACTTGTCGACGAGAGTATGCGCCGGTTCTGACGCATGCCGTATCTGCACTCCGGCCAGCCGCGCCCGCTGTTCAGCGAGTCGCCTATCCCTTTCTTGCGGTGGCATTTTGCAAGCGCCACCATCTTCCGGCGTGCCAGAGGCCTTCTGTGCGATAGACTGCACAGTGAATGTTATGGCTTCGAAGGTGAGCTTGCTCTGCTGCCCTATGCTAGCGTCGGGCTTGCCAAAACAAGCTTCCACCAAAACACCGAACTTGGTCTCGTCAATCTGGCCTGGCTGCACGGAAGCTGCGAAGGCCAACGACGCAAAGGTCTTGACATCCTGCTTGAGCAAAGCATCGCTCTCTGAAGAAACAAAACCCAGCTCTGTCAGCCGATGGGCAAAAGCTGCTTCGCTGTCGATCAAACCAGCCATGGCCGAGAGAGCTACGAGACTAAACGCGCACAACTGACAAGAAAAGGCTGCCAAGCACGCGCAAGCAAAAGATGCACATGCAGCCAGTACAAGGACGCGAGCTCACATAACTGTAATGCTGTCATACGCAACCGTGCAACCGGGCATGGATTTCCTGACGTCTGTCAACAAGTCACAAAGGGAATACTCACTAAGTGGAAAGCGCATGCCAAAACGAATCATCGACAGCATCGTCAAGCAGAAGCACGCACACATTATAAGCGCACTGCACAGCCAAACCATGTCTGGGTGCACCACCCGGCACACTGCCAGAAAGCATCAGACAGGCATCATCGCCTGACCAGAACATCTCTGGATTTCATCAGGCTTCACCGCCCGACCAGTTACACCACTGGATTTCAGGTCTCATCACCTGGCCAGAACATTTCTGGTGCTGCAGGCATCACCGCCCGGTTGAAATAACTATGTAGCTATGCGAACAGTCACGCGGGGAGTCATTCAGAGTCGGGCGCCATCGCTACGACACACTCCCGCGTCTCCAAGAAACACGTCTTGCACTTTACAGAGGAAGCCACCACGCACATCTCCTGAACAAACCTGTCACTAATGCGCCTGCCGCACTCTAGACGATCAGAGCCATCCCGGCCAATGTGGTAGATGCCGGAATAGTCGTGTCGATACACAACACGCCCAGGAGCCGCTCGAAGGAACCTTGGACGCAACTGTGGCGAAACCAAACGCAGCAAGGATGCCTCATCATCCAGGGGCTCGAAATCACTATCCGATCCAGAGCTGCAGTCGCTTTCTTGATCACTGTGCTCAGTGCTCAGACTCAGTTTCGCCATCGTGCGCTCCATCTGCGTCGAAACGGTCTGATGTGTCAACAGCTGCACGGGGCTCCTTACTTGTAGAAGGTATCTGCGCATGCTTGGCCTGCTCGGGCTGGACTGGCGCCGTGGTAGCGCAGATATCATGCCACTGCGCGTGGCATCTGGGTCAAATCGCCCCTCACGCACATCATCCAGCATGCGCACGAGCAGGCGCAACGGTGCTGCTAAAGCGTCTCTCGCGTAGGTCTCAGCCGAACAGGCTGAAGGATCCAGGTGGTATCCCAGAAGCCTTCGAGAGGCCAAATCTATTCCATACTTGGCAGCCCAGGACAACAAGGTCGCCTTTAAGGAATGCGACGTATAGCGAGGCTGACTCTCGTCACCGACTTCCAGCAAGGCACGCAGCACGGCGCCACCTTCAGTGGAGGTCAAGCCAGAGGCAGTGGGCAGACCACCCGCGCTGAAGCAGGGGAGTAGCGGCACGGCCAAAGATCCATCACGAGGAAGTCCCAACTCAGCGCGCACGGCAAGCCAAGCCTCGAACCATCCAAGTCCAGTCAGCGAGACCATGGGGGCGACCACTGGCAGAAGCTGTCTTTTCTTCTTCACGCTGGTGGCCGTCTTGAAGTGTCGCACGGTCAACTCGATGAAGCCTTCAGACGAGGAAGCAGGCACCATATCCACGACCCATGACGTGGCACGTTGACCATCACCAAAACGACATCGCGCGTACAACAAGATCAGAAGCGATCCTGCCCAAAGCCGATCCTGAGGGCTGGCTGCTTGCACAGCAGCTTGTTCCAATGCGCGGACATGTGCAGCAGTCAAGGGCGGCGCCTGTTTAATGGGTCCGCTCTTTGTAGCAAGCGTTGCCGCTATGCCGCTGATTCGCTTGCTTACGACGCCACAGCCTCCATCGATGCCAAAAAGCGCTGCTGAGAACCTGACAGCTTCAACAAAGGATTGCGCTGCTGTGGCTGCAGCCTCCTCATCACGTAGATAGCGAACGTAGCCGCACAGCACGAACTCGACATAGGGAAATGGAGCTTCTCCGCAAACTTGACACCACGCCATGAACCTACGGACACTGCCTAAGCGCTTTAGCAATGTGGCAGTGGACTTCACGCCAGTAATGTCCTCCACAATGCAGCATGCGCCATTGAACAAGGCGCCAGGGTTTGCCGAAGCGACGTGGCCACCCACAGCTTCCTCGATAGCAGTGCGCCCAACCCAGGATGCATCGGGCTTCACCAACAAGACGGTCGCCCGTTGCGAGACGACAGCTTTTCGTCTGGCGTCCTGATCGTCATTCCCAGGCCGTGCACTCATCTGACAGCGACGAAAACACGCAATAGTCACACGTTGCTTCTTGCAAGGTTGACTGCCAACTTTTGTGGGAGCGAGGCCCGCAGAAGGCACGGGCACCGGCACAGGCCTTTCCCAGCTCAACGACGCGCTGGGTGATACGAGCCGAGCCAGACTAATTTTACCCAAGGCGAAGCCCACGGCACCGTGCTCCCATGGCAATTTGTGCGTAGGCCGCGGAAGCTGTTGCCAGCTGACTCGAAGCGCCTCCTCAAAGTCAATCTCGGGGCAGGCACGAGAAGTACCGAACATGGCAAAACAAGAAGACACCAAGTGTTCAGCCACACAGGCAACCGCTAGAGCACTCTCTAACACCTGCTGGCCTGGACATGCATCAACACGCATCATCATGCATCAAGGACACGTGCTGCACGGCAATCACAACAGTGCGACACAACACGGCACGCAGCTGCCGACGCAAAACCACAAGCACGCACCTCTACAATCTCGCACTCACTCAACACAAGCGGCCTTTTTGGAATGATGGGACGATGTCCGAAAGCCTAAGTAGAAGCCTCCAGGCTCCAGGGACAGCAGTCCCACTCCACCCTCCTTTAAGGGCGGGCGGGTGGGAAAATGAAATCAACTGGCTGCACAAGCTGTCGACAGCAGCCCACCTCTAACCACACAAACACGATCGGACTGCTGGACAGCTGTGCACACACAACTATATAGAAGACGTTCGCGCGAGATAGAGAGAGTCGCAGTCACGTGAAATAACTGCGCAACGGCTTATGTCGCCACACGTGTGACAGATAACAGCAGCAACTTACGCCTGCAGCAGTTGAACCAGGTGTCTACACGTCTTAGGCCGGTTTGCGCAAGAAGGCATGCAGAGCAAGCGTTTGACTCGCAAGCACACAAGCAACATGGTCTCGATCGCATAATTTACTTAGATCTATAAGCCTGCTGATGCAGCAATGTAGCACCTGCCCTTTCTATCCTCTCATGCTCTTGTGTAGCCAACCTAGATACATCTAAGAACTAGCCGAAACGCAAGCTGGGCTTTTGCAAAAATGCTGCGCAGCAGCGACCGTCAATCCGGGCGGGCAGGCGGGGCTTCAAAAAGTGGCCCAGCACCCACGATGGAACATCTTGGGGGATCGCACAACAACCACACATAATGCGCAACACTGAACTCAGCTGCATGTACCAGTTACTTGCACGCGCACAATATACTATGTGAAAGAAGGACGGCTGCAGCGCCGGGTTTCTGGCTTGGCTTCGCGGTGCACGGACTCGTCTGCACACAGAGCAGCTTGGGCTCTTCGCATTCAAACCGCCCCCTTACAAGCCCCCATGCAGCATGCACACTTGTGTGCTTGACTTGACTGCTTCCCAGATTTGGGTGCTTGCTGTGTTGATCTTGCTGTAAACATTGTAAGGAAATATGCATATCGGCGGGATCCTGGCAGGGGTGCGCAAACTCCAAAAAAACAGAGGCGTCACTGATACAATCGAAGGGCATCGCACCCTTGCAGCACGCAGAAACTGGCCGACAGAACGTGGACACAGCCACACAACATCTGCGGCACACAGGAGCAAAAGGCACACGCTCTGCACATGACAGGTGGTCTGACACACCGTAATCAGAACAGCCATTACATGTACCTTTGGGCAGCACCATCGAGCACATTGAAATCCCTATGAAATCTTCAAGCACTCGCACCACAATATTGACCGCCTGACAATTGTCCAGCCAAATCACAGCATGTGACTTGCATTCAGTCCTGCTTCTCGCCTGGTACACAGCCTGCAAGGCAACGCGTCCGTAGTTGCCTTGCAAGCATGTTGGGTGACTTGGCGGTTGACCGCACCGCAGCTTCAGCAGGTTTAGGGTTTAGGTACAGGCAAAACAAAGCAACCAGCCGTTAATCGCTGTGATGCATTGCACTCGGTCTGCGCCTACACTTGCACACACTCCTTCTTACTTTTTAATCACGCTACACATGTGTTGGCGCACGTAAGTCAGTGCAGCATGTACACGAATGGGCAGGGGGTCCGAAAACCCTTGAGCAGACGTCAACTCAATAACTCACACACAAATATAAGCATCAGCCTGCTACCTTCAGCAGACACACAAGGAAGGGGCGTGTAGGTGGGGCAGTCAAGCATGGCTGCAACACTTTGCTATGAGAGGCTTTGTCCGGTGCAACAGTTGCTGGTGATTCACTGCTAGACAGACACATCATGGCACGGACAGAAACAGTGTGGCCCAAGCAGCACAATCCTGGATTTCATGTCCAAAATTGTTGTAGCTCGCCAGCAGCTAGCCAGCAACTCCGACGTGACATAGGACGGCGCAGAAACGTGGCCGAAACAAAGCGACATGCGTCGCACTTGTTGACCAGGTGCCCCTCCCACTGAGGTGCGGACAGACGTTTGCCAAGAAGGAGCGCAAGGAACACCTAACTTTGTTTTGCAGAAAGCTTCACTCACGCATAGCTCCCAATGATGCGAGACAACCCTGCGCCGTGACGAAACTACGAGCCAGAAGCACTGGCACACTCTGACTCCCATTTCATCGAACGCTATGACACAAGCGCCTTGGCCTTGCCTGTGCAGATTCAGCATTTTGCCAGGTTTGGGTCACGCTCCGCGCTTCATGTTTGCAGGGGGGCAGATTCATGAAGGCCAAACGAGCAACGGCAAATCGCACCAGGCCGGAAGCACTCGCACAGTCTCACTCTTCCATCAGGTGGGTAACATATGGTAACACGTTCCGCAGGCATCATCGCCCGGCCGCCAGCATTCAGCTGTGGTCGCTGAACAATCATCCCACTCATGTCTCAGGGTGAAAGCGGGAACAAGACTGGAAGAAAAATGCAATCAGCGGTAACCTGCTGCAAAGCTAGCAATGGCACTCGCACGATACAACAGTCAGACTGACAGTCACGCAGCAACCAATTATGTGTTCGGAGCACGCACTGGCCGCATCCCAACCATTCCCAACCCACCCCAGTACGAGCAAACCAAGCTACAGACTCTACAGTTTTCTGTACATTGTACATCGCAAGAATGGACAGAAAAGCCCTCTTTTGTTCGCTCCCGTGCACAAGTAATACGTCGCTCCGTAACTGTCTGCATCAAAAGCAATACGCACTTTGGCGCTCTAGCATTGATTCAAGCCTTGCGTCCTTCGAACGTCCGCACGATGGCTTTGCGTATGCGTTCAATGCACACGGTCATCACGACAATTCGGCAACATCACTAACAAAAATCAGTTCTTGTTGCGAAATTGCAACGTCGAGGCTTTTAAGATCAGAGGCTAGACAAGCGGCACTTATGGGCAGCCAACGCCCGGGTCAGCACAGCTCGTTGCCAGCAGCACCGCACACTTGTGACAGTGAACACCTTACTCACTTTACACGGTCAAACCTCAAGCCTCAAGCCTTAGGGCAACACAAGGCGGAACAACAACATAACTGTGCTACAAGGCAAGCGCAGACGCAGTGCGAACATGTCAGTCCACTGCAACGCCAAATCGCTCGACGCTCACAGAACCTGCTACCATGAACCCCACTGGCCATTGGCAGACAAGCAACTTTCAACAGCCAACAAAAATCAGCTGCTGATGACAACCAACCAACCGCCCGGCTGCCCACCGATATCATAGCGCAGCCGGTCAGGAGTCGTCTCTATGTTCTTTTCTACACTCACAAGAATTGCCCTCCCTGCCCACACTGCCCTGACACACACAGAGCCCAAACCCTGACCCCACTCGCAGTCGCTGTCCCCGGGGCAGGCCACTCACTCCACGCGCTACGAACAAGCACGGAGGATGCCTGCGCGCATGCACGCATGCATGTCTTCGTATCTACAGGCTTAGTTCTTTGTCTGCTTGCTGTTTATTCATCTACTTAGATACTTGCTTGCTTGCTTCTGCGTCTATGGATTTATCTGTCTGTAAGCACACATCGAAAAGATTCAACATAGATGTACATATAGTTATGCATGTAAGTGTGTATGTATATATATATATATATATATAGATTACCCCCGCCACCCATGAACTTCCGCGAGGCTCCGCGACACCGCCGCCAATCCTCCTACGTTTGGGCTTCTGGTGTGTGATCTAATTATCAAGTTCCGAGGGGAGAGCATATGTATGACGGCAGCCGGCTTCATTCTTTGCGACACTTCACGCAGATACTCCGAGCGATAATAAACGATGAAAGTTTCTAAATACCCGAAGATAAATATGGGCCCGAAAAGCAACCCCAAACTAGCCTTCACTGTAGTCTCGATCAAAGCCCAGCAATATGTATGAGTGACCGTGAGCCTTGCTTGACTCCTGTTCCTAAACAGCAGTATCCCTACCACTACCCCTGCCATTCGACCTTACATTGGCCCCCATGGTGACAGGAGTATCCTGTTTCTCTCTCAATCTAGCGCAACACAACCTACTCAAGCCCTGCGCACTACATCTTTTTTGCTGGGACTGTACTGCTCAAGTGCAGAAGCAAACACATACCACACCGCAAGAGGGGGACGGCAGTCCACTTCCCCTGGGCGGGCGGGTGGGAACTTTTTGAAACTCAAGATCGGAACACTTCAGCAGCAGAAGCGACCACAAGGTCGACCCACGACCAACACTTCTCTAGAGCTCTGCTGCAACTGTACACGCAAAAGGTATGTGCGCAGATAGAGAGGGTTTATGTCACAGTACGGGCCAGTGACAAAAGGCACTTCTTTTTCACTCGAATAAGATGCCTTTTAGATCAATGTCTTAGTTCATATGGTCAAGATGTTATGTCGACTAATTACCCCGTTCCACATCCCCATATTACCATATCGATCTGAAGGTTAAGACAACGACATAATTACGTCTCTAGTTTCGACATGTACAAACTACCCACCCTCCAGCCCATGGACGCCGTGACACTTCTAAATACTTCTAAGACGCAAGTGCGCACACGCTCGACGCTCTTTTGTTCGTGGGATGCGCAAATGCCGACAGTCTTTCCTGGCCTAGCAAGGACCTACAAACTTCCTGGAGGCGATTGGGGCGGCGCAGTACGCTCAGATCTCACTTAGGTGCACGCAGGCGTGCACCCAGCGCCTCCAGGCTCCAGGGACAGCAGTCCCACTCCACCCTCCTTTCAGGGCGGGAGGGTGGGAAAACGAAGTCAACTGGCTGCACAAGCTGTCGACACACAGCCCAACTCGAACCTCACAAACACGATCGGACTGCTGGACAGCTGTGCACACACAACTATATAGAAGACGTTCGCGCGAGATAGAGACAGTCG